ACATCCATTCGTCCCCTCTGGCGTCGGAGGAACGGCGCTTTGCCGGTCAAACTCTTTCAAGTCAGGACTTTTACTGGGGTTATTTCACGAAAAACGCCTTGTGGCTAGCCTCCTTTGACAGCGTGGATCCCCCTTCATGTCCGGCTCCCCAGGCCGGCCGCAGAAGTTTCGTTGCCCGTCAGACGCCATCAGCATTGCGAGGGTGGCATTTCTAACAAAGAGTGGCTCGTGGCAGCTCCCAAAGGTGGAAGGTTTCTCCTTTCCTACAGGTCTCAGTCTCCCTGTTGTGGTTTAATTAAAAAACCCTAAATTTAAAACCAAAATTTGGTGGAATAAATAATGACAGGAAGAATATATTGTGGATGGACTTGAATCAATATAAATGTATATTGATTCCTATAAAATGCCAATGGCATTAAATGGTTAAAATTAGTACAGTGCTTAATAAGCACCCCATCTATGTATCTTATTCATTTACTTTTCAGAAATGTAGTATAGTAGCTGCATATGATATCTAATCACTAAAAGTTGAATGATATCAATATTAGGATAGTAAGGGATCATTTAAGCGATGAATTGAACCTGCTGCTCAGACAAGGAATCCAGAAATCATTATTCCTCATTCTACCTTTTGAAATTATGTAGAACAACTTCTGGAAATTCTACCTGTGTGTCTCTAGTTGCTTGGAAATGTTATATCCTATCCTTCACTATTATTGTCATTTTTAAATGGTATATAAACTCTATTGGTGTCCCATTCTGGATGCTATAAGCAAAGTGCGATTCTGAAATCTAAAATAATTCTGAAGAATGAATGAGTGTTATGAAATATTTCTAAATAATTGAACCAAAGGCATTCAATCTACAACTTTTCTTCTTTCCTTTATTTGTGAAGCTATTAATTGATATTAGATCACACCATCAGTTGGAAGTTAAAACCCACCCCTCTCCTAGGAAAATGAAATATTTAAGGATATACTAAAAAGGCAGAATATTTCCCCTAAAAGAGAAGTAGAAACTCAGAGGCAGAAACTCAGTCCCCCTCCCCCACAACCTTTGTTAATGGGCCATTGAGTCCTGGGCCAGTCTATTCTACATAACAAAGATCTACCTCCTTCAAGCAGAGCCATAATAAGAACTGCCCAAAGCCCTTTCATTACATCATCACCCAGCAATGGTCAACCAAGCATGGGATTCGGGACAGCCTACAGAGTTGCCCCTGCATGGCCCCATGGGAGTCTGACAACCAATCAGAATACAAGCTCCAATTCAAATCCCAACAAAGGGCATAAAACTCAGCATCCCTGCTCTTTTTCACCCAAGAGCTCGAAGGTATGTCATCCTGTCCATCAATAAACCTTCTTTCCAAGCAACTTCCATGAATCCAGTGTCTTTTTCCCCACTTGGAACCCAGAAGGATATTTCTTCCAACACATTCATAACAGAGTTGAGAAAGTCCAGAAATATTTCACAAGAAGAGTTCTCCACTCCTCTACTCATTGCAGAATACCTTATGCTACCAGACTTGAAATTCTAGACCTAGAAAACCTAGAACTACGCCGCCTCAGGTCCGATCTAATATAGTATATAAAATCATACATTGCAATGTCCTACCAGTCAATGAATACTTCAGCTTCAACCATAACAACACTAGAGCAAACAATAGATACAAACTCAAGGTTAATCGCACCAAACTTGATTGCAGGAAATACGACTTCAGCAACAGAGTGATCAATGTCTGGAATACTCTACCTGACTGGTTTCTTCCCCAAACCCCAAAACTTTCACCTTAGACTGTCTACTATTGACCTCACCCCTTTCCTAAGAGGTCTGTAGGGGGCGTGCATAAGCGCACCAATGTGCCTACCGTCCCTGTCCCATTGATTCTTTTTATTTTTCTTATATGTATCCATTTCATGTATTCATAACTATGTTTACACTTGTACCTATTACCTTGTAAGCCATTGACAAATCAAATAAATAAATAAAATAAATAAATAAACATCCTAATATAAATCCATTGAAATATCACAGGATTCCAGTTGAGTGAATGCAAATGTTTACAGATCCCTCACATCCTGGACATAAACTGTTTTAACTCCTACCCTCAAAAACGCTATAGAGCACTGCACACCAGAACAACTAAACACAACAGTTTTTCCCGAACATCATCACTGCTAAACAAATAATTCCCTCAACACTGTCCAACTATTACTATTAATCCTCCCATCGTTCCTTTTACCCATCTGTTCCCACTTATGGCCATGACTGTAACCTTGTTGCTTGTATTCTAATGATTTTTATTGACTGTTTCCTAGTATGATTTGGTTGCTTATTGTACCCTATGATTATTAAGTGTTGTACCTTATGATTCTTGAAGAATGTATCTTTTTTCTTATGTACACTGAGAGCATATGCAGCAAGACAAATTCCTTGTGTATCCAATCACATTTGGCCAATAAAGAATTCTATTCTATTCTTTTTTGCCATTAAAAAGGGGGCACCAAATCATATTTCTGACTGCCTGTACTTTATAAAAGATGTGATTTAAGCCCATGTCACTATAAGAAACATGGAGAAAGTGAATCCACATAGAGAGAATTGATGTATACCCTTTTCACTGCTGATATAAATGATCATTGCATTGACCTGCACAAGTTGTAACAGTAATTGAACCCAGTTCAGATGAGACTATTTATTTCACTTTGATTTCTCTTTGGGATTCTTTGCATGATTTTGTCCTTGGTTTCCCAGCCCCCTTTGCCTTTTATTGTTTCCTGGTGCTTTGCCTATGTATGTGACTTCACATGTTCACCAACTTCACTCTTCATTAAAATGACTAGTCACCGACGATGTTACCTAGTTTGCATAATGAAACATCTGCAAGGAAATAACCAAGCTCAGAGTGCACCAAGAACTCTCATTTCAACCCCAAGCTACAAATATTATTCTGAATTGGTTGTGCCGTACAGTTAGTCCTCAATTTACAACCATAATTGTGCCTAAAATTTTAGTTATTGGGTTTGCCCCATTTTGCAATCTTTCTTGCTGCGATTAAGTGAATCACTACAGTGAAATTAGTAACACAATTGTTTAGTGAATCTGGCTTCCGCATTGAATTTGCTTGTTCACAAAAAGTGATCACATCATCCCAGGACATTGCAACCATCATAAATACACATTAATTGCCAACCATCGCAAATTGTGAAAAATGATCATGTCACTTTTTTCAATGCCATAACTGCAAGTGGTCACTAAACAAATGGTTATAAGTTGAGGACTACCATATTATTTTGCCAAGTTGCAGGACATTCATGCTAATACTTTAAAACAATTGGTGGGAGCTTGTCTCCATTGTGGGTTGTTTCAAAGCCAACAGTGGATCAATTGGATGTTCTAAACTAGAGGTGTTGATAGCCATTCCTTTCTTTTCAAAACCTTTTCTAAAGATATAAGTTTAAATCATCTGCATTATTATCTGAGAGATAACAATAACAGATACCACTTACATATCATGTTCATGTGGAGAAGTGATGGATAGCTAGAAGCAGGTCAGTTTCAGTAATGGAACTCATTTTGGGGACCAAGGACCCTCCTGCCTCAGTTATTGCCTTCTTTTTAGTTGAAATGTTTCTGAATCAAAGGATCTTATCTTTACTCTAGATGTCGTTAGGATGCAGCCTTTGAATCAACAAAGTATGTTAGTGCTTTGGTGGGATAAGTAAGCTATATTGTAAACAGCTAGTGTGTAGAACCCTACTACCCAGAGGTGGTATTCAGCAGGTTCTGATCAGTTCTGGAGAACCGGTAACAGAAATTTTGAGTAGTTTGGAGAACCAGCAAATACCACATCTATTCTCGGCCTCCTGAGTCCTGGCTGATCGGCTGGGTCTTCTTTTGTTGCCCTGCACAGGAGAATGGAGCTGGAAAGCAGGTTAGTGGGGTGGGGAGGGAATGGGAATTTTGCAGTATCCTTCCCCCGCCAGGCCCACCAAGCCATGCCCCACACACAGAACTGATAGTAAAAAAATTGAAACCCACCACTGCTACTACCCCTCTGAAACTAATTTTGAGAGAAACAAGGACACCATTGCCTTATTTTTCCTGCTGTCACCTTTTCCTTGAAGAGAAAAAGTTCCTCGAAATAGGCAAATTTATTATTTTTTCCCCTTGTGCAATGGTGATAGTTAGCTTTAAAAATGCAGAATACTTTAAACAAATGGAAAACTCAGTCACTGATGGCAATTGATGATATACTGGTAAATGAGTATTTTAACTTAATTCCTTATTATTCCAAGCCATAACTATTCCCTGGAGATATTATAGTACAGTAATAGCAATAGCACTTAAGACTTATATACCGCTTTATGGTAGGGAGTCAGCATATTGCTCCCAACAATCTGGCTCCTCATTTTACTGACCTCGGAAGGATGGAAGTATACTTAGACATCAGTCATGCGTTTGAACTGTTGTGGGATATATTGTGGTCTTTTCACATTGTTATACAGATCTTTTCATGAGGGGCTTTCTTTGGGGGGGGGGGGGGGAATCGGCATTCCTTGTCCTCTGCTGCCATCTTGTGGCAAATTTCCCATATAAACCTTACGGTTCAATTAACAAGGTTTGAATTTGCCGCGCTGCAATGCTGACGTTGTGGCGCCTAATTAATCTACATCTGTTTTTCCCTTTTCTTTTGTCCCCCAATGAATGTGGTAAAGATGTCGAAAGCTTCATTTCACCCGTCTCCCGTAATAACTAGTCTTTCCGGAAAGAGAAAACATGTGATATATATATAAAAGTATATTGAAAATATACTTTTAAAAAATGATAAAAGCCTTAATAAGCCTGTTAATAAGACTTAAGAAATAAAAAAAACTAAGGCAGTTTAATTTGCTCAGTTAATTATTTGCCAACATTGTCGATCGGAATAAGTTTACAGTAATTACATTAGGGGTTTCCCAGCCGCCCCCCCCCCCCAAATGAAAACAGCTCTTTAAAATGACTGCGTGGGTGGCCCTAAAAAGGGCCTTTGGATTGCTTTTGTCAGCAGTGGAAATGTAGCCTTTTAACCACCAAAACCGTACAAGGTGCGACCTTGGCGTTTCAAAGCATAAACGACGTCCATAGCAGTCACCGTCTTCCTCTTGGCATGCTCAGTGTAGGTAACCGCATCCCGGATAACGTTCTCCAAAAAGACCTTTAAGACTCCTCGGGTCTCTTCATAGATGAGCCCGGAAATCCGCTTCACTCCCCCACGACGAGCCAAGCGGCGAATGGCAGGCTTCGTGATGCCCTGGATGTTGTCGCGAAGGACTTTACGGTGCCTCTTAGCACCACCCTTCCCTAAGCCTTTCCCTCCTTTTCCACGACCAGACATGTTAGCAAGTAAACCACCAAGCCGATAACAACTGAAGGGCTGTGCCGGGAACTTAATATAGTCTGGAGGCGGACCAGAGTGGAAACTCTGAACGAGAACAGTCTACTCCCACTCCGCCTCGCCTTCGGTTGCCAGCCTGTAAAAACACCTGGTCGTCTTCACCAATTGATCGGAAGGATGTCAAAGCTATCCAATCAGATCTCATTGGAAAGTGTCCAATTAGAGCTCAGAGAAATATATTCCAGTACAATCTGGTTACTACTTTCCATGACTCCAAAGGCTGATTCCTACGGTAAATACAAGAGGATAGAAGATGGGATACAATTTTATCCAAATGACATGTAGGCATTTAAACAAAATAGATAAATCGACATTTTAAGGTGTCACAATATTACTCAGGATTTTTCTTAATGTAGATTAAGAAATCTACATTAAGGCAGTCTTGTATGTAACATGTTTGTGCCTCACGTCCTGGCTTCATTAGAACTCAGATGAAACTTATTTGAAACATTTAATTCTTTTGCTATCTTTGTCTCGGGTATCAGAACTCATTAATGCAAAAGTTGACAAGGTTTACTGGATACCAGTGTCACTTCTGCTACCAGTAGGTGGAATCCTCCCTAGAAAAACATTTGAGGCAGATGCTACACTGGTATTGCTTTGCTTTCTCCAATGCACTGTTGATTTGTGAAACATGTAAGGCTCTTCAGTTTATTTCTGCCCTGAAAGCTTCCTTGCAAACAAGGCACAGTAATATCTACTGTGTTGTAGTCCCATTTTAGGCATGAAAGCCAGCTGGGTGACTTTGGGCCAGTCATTCACTCTCAACATACCTCACAGGGCTGTTGTTATGGGGATAATAAGGAAGGAATATTGTGCATGCAGGATCCAATCTGGGTCCAGAGATTTAGTATAAAATGGAATAAAATAGAATAGCCCAAAGCACACATTCTGGTAGAGAGAAGTCCCCTGAGGATGGCCTCCTGCACAAGTCTGAAAGCTCAGAAGACTAAACCTTTGGTCCCAATGACTGACCCAGATTGGATCCTGCAACATGATCCTGGGACACGTATGTTTGATTTCATCTGTGAGTATTATGTATGTTCACCATCTTAAGTTACTTATGACATATTCATCATAGAATAAAGGGGCATGCATAATTGTGCCTCCTGTCCCTGTCCTATTGTCCCCATTTATTTGTACCTATCTCCTGTATTCTTACTCATGTTTATACTTATATCTATTATTCTGTAAGCGATTGACAAATCAAATAAATGAATAACCAATGCTGTGCCAAGTTGTAAGAGAAATGTGATCATATCACAAATCAGGCAAAAGCTCTGATTTATGTGTTTTGTGTGGCAATGGCCTTGGAGGAAAAACAATATTCATAACCAGGTAGGACCAGAAACTTGGAAAGTTTAATGCAGAAGAAAGCAAAAAAAAAAAAATTGTTCAAGGGACACCAATGAAATTGAGATTAGCTGTATCTGGTGGTTGAGATGAATCTTCTTCAGGACCCAGAAATTAAAAACTTCCAGAACCCTCCTTATTTTAGAAGATTTTAAATGGCATGGCAGCACCTCGTGAATTACATAGAATTATTGTCCTGAAGGGAAGCTAAAAGGAAATTCAGTTTCAGATGCTGTTTGAAAATTGGCAAAGCAGTTAATTAGTTAGTTTACTTTATTGTCATTGCACTTCGTACAACGAAATCAAACACCATCTTCAGTGCATATCATGACCATGAAAATAAACATAAACACACATCCTTCACACTCCACACATTGAACTGACACCACACCAACACTGCATTATACAGTAGAATTCAAAAGAGCTACTGCCCTGGGATAGAAACTGGTTTTCAGCCTATTTGTCCTTGTTTTTATTATTCTGTACGTCTGCAGATGGTAATAGTTCAAAAAAAGTGTTTCCAGGATGAGATGGATCTTTGAGGATGTTTTGAACTTTCTTAAGGCAGCAGGAGCTATAAAGCTCTTCCAAAGAGGGGAGAGGGCAACCAATGATCTTCTGGGCAATGACATTATACCTCTGAAGTGCTTTCCTATCTGCCACTGTGTAATTGGCATACCATACAGAGGTGTTACAGAATTGGATGTCCTTGATTTTTCTCTGTAAAATGCTAAGAGCTTCTGAGAAACAAGGTTTGAAACTACACCCCTTGAAGCTGACCTCTTCACTTATTAAAAACTATCTCATCCAATCTGGTGTCCTGTTTCCCCCCGCCCCATTTCTGCCATTCCCAATGTTGCCCTTGTGTTTCCTGCAGGACTTTAAACAGAGAAGATAACTCCAAATGGAATTATCAGGCTGATCTGAGGATATAGATGAGTGCCTGCTAAAGGATTCAAATTCAGGACCTGAGATTTCCAAAGACAGGCAAAAATGTCAGAGTGGGATTCTTACTGGAAACTTCCTATTACCATCAACATTTGATCAGATGGTCAATATAAGACAAATCCTGGGTGGCAATTTCAATAATTGGGCAGTTTAATGCATTTCCCACTTCCTTCAGGTGCATATCAACAGGAGGTGCTTAATGGAAGAAATGAGGAGTCCAAAATGCAGCAGGTATGTGCAAAATCCAAGTCCATGTTACATATGAATAGATGGTTGGAAAAGGGAGGGTGCAGGCTGGCCATTTCGTGCACCTGCTGTCTGAGGTGTTATGTCTCTACACGAATACAGCCAGAATCATCAAACCAAACCTGAATTTGATTTCCTCAATTTATAACCAGCAACCATTCAAAGTTCCAATGGACCTACCTGGACAAGTATTTAAAACCCAGATTCAAAATTCTGATCGTTCTCCCCATCACCATATAATCAAACAGCAATCACATGACTGCATTTTATACATTCAGCAACTGGGTTGCATTTACAGCCATTTACAGATTTACAGATTAACAGAGTTGGAAGCGACCTTGTGGATCATCTAGTCCAACCCCCTGCCCAAGCAGGTGACCCTACACCATTTCTGACAGATGGCAGTCCAAGTCCCAAGTGATGGCGCTCCCACAACTTCCGAGGGCAAGCTGTTCCATTGGTTGATTGTTCTCACTGTCAGAAAGTTTCTCCTTATTTCCAGGTTAAATCTCTCCTTGTTCAGTTTCCATCCATTATTCCTTGTCTGGCCTACAGGCGCTTTAGAAAAAAAGCTTGACCCCCTCCTCTCTGTGGCAACCCCTCAAATATTGGAAGACTGCTATCAGGTCTCCCCTGGTCCTTCTCTTCACTAGACTAGCCAAGCCCAGTTCCTGCAACCGTTCTTCATATGTTTTAGTTTTCAGTCCCTTAATCGTCCTGGTTGCTCTTCTCTGCACTTTTTCTAGTTTTTGCATTTGCAGCATCCTGCCATCATATGACAATGTTTTATGGTGGTTTTGCTGAAAACCCACATAGATTTCCAGTTTTTGGCAAAAAACCCACCCACAGGCAAGCTATTGGTACGCTTATTGACTTTGGTGTTCACTCAATAACCATGGATTTGCTTAACAACTCTGGTGAGTCACTTAACTACCACAAAAAAGATCACAAGCAAATCTTTGGCATTTTGATACATTAAGGACTAAAGTTATGAATATATGTAACAAAGAAGAAAATAATCTTATGACAAACCATGGAATGTTTGCGAAGAACATTTTCCTTTTAGATTTTTTCAAATACAAGACAGCAAACATAGTTAGTTCTTATTTTCCTAAGAAAAACAACCCAGTGCGGTGAATTGGGCTGAGAGAGAGCGATTGGCTCAAAGTCACTCAGTTGGTTTTTCATGCCTAAGGCGGAACCAGAACTTGTCGCCTCCTGGTTTCTAGGACACCTTAACACCACCGGGACAAACTGGCTCTTGGTGCCTTGCTGAAATCAAGATAGGAGATTACCTAAAATAGCCTGCACAGCTTATCTCTCAGAATAGAAGACAAGGCGAGAGGCGATAAATATGCTGCAAATACCAGGCTAGACTGAGCTGTAGACCCACCTTAGCCATGAAGCTACCTGGATGACCTTGGACCAGTCACTCTTTCTCAGTCCTAGGAGGTAGGCAAGGACAAACCACTTCTGAAATGTTGCCAATAAAACTGTAGAAACTTGTCTAGGCAGTCATCAGGAGTCAAAATGTTGTCTTGAAGGCACACACAGAGAAATGGAATTGTGATTTAGTTTTGAGAGAGTCAGAAGTATTACAGAATTACTTTTGAGTACTGATTTGGTTTTACTGAGTTGCAGTTTACTGATTAAGCCACAAATAGTTCAGCTTCGCACATACTAAGTCCAAAATCATGATTTACAAACTATAGTAATTGAGTTCACACAGCAAATGGTGGAAACCAAAGGGCGCAACAACTTAGCATGCTAGAAGAACCTCTTTGTAACTAGAGCACCATGATGGATAGGAAATTGTAAAAACACTGGAGATTCTTTCTTCTGCCTTTCAGTAGCTTGTATTTTCTAATGTGTATATGCTGTAAACTTCCTGAGAGATTATGCTTGTAACCAAGGTGAAGTTTGGTCCAGCCGTGAGATAAGGCACACACCATTTGTGGCTGCCATAGTTACTGTTGCTATGGGGGGAAGCTTCAAACCACATCAATACATCAGAACACACCAAGCCAAGATTAGCTTAATCATGATTTATTGGTGGGAAAACCATTAGGTCACAAACAAGTTGATCATGTTTCAGCTTTGTGGATTGTATGAACCTACTTATATTTTGTTGCATGTACAGAGTTGTATTGCCTGAAGCAACTAAAATGATTGAAAAATCACTCTTATTTTCTCCTTTAAAACCTATATGAAGTGTTCCTAACTTTCCTACAATCCTAACATGTAGGGTTCATGCAGGAAGTCATAAAATCAAGATGGGGGCCACAACTGCACTATCAAAGCCATGCATCCATGTCATGTAAAAAAGGAACATGGATGTAATTGTGCTGTCAGTCACTATCTTGGATTTCTCTCCCATTGTGTCTTCAATAGCC